GGTAATATGAAGTACTTTAAATTAGGTATAGTTATAAGTATACATTATATTTATTTTTTAAAAATAGCTTATATTAGCAAAAAAACACAAGGTAGGTACTGGGCAAAAAGAGATGTTTCTCAGACACTTTTAGAAACTGTAATTCATTCATTCTCACCATCCTGCAGGTCTTGAACTTTTACATCTCTTGTTTATCCTCAAAGCATCTATATGAGATAGGCGGACTGAAAAAAGAAGGGTCTTTCATAAAACGCAGTTGCAGTTAATGTAAAGTAAATCAGACTCATTCAAAAGTAGCATCGCTGCGCAAAAAAAAAAAAAGTTATGCATGCATGTTACACTTCTGACTGTACATTGTGTTTTCTTTTTCTTATAATGCACAGTTTTGAGGTATAGGACGTATCATTTGCCATTCACTGACAGTCGGACAGACTCATCCAGTTCATCAAACTTTTTATAATCTAAATCAGAAGCGGAATAAAGTCTGCTCATAAAGCCAGTGTATCAGCGTGCTGGTACATTGAAAACATGATTTGATTTGTGCCTTCTGATTGGTTCTCGGGATATAGCGGCTTTTGCCATCAAAGGCAAGTGACGCTTAGAGACTTTTGCCAACTTTTGTTATTTCTGAATGCGCTGATGCTGCGATTTACAGGATTTCAACCAAAACTACTTGTTGAACATGTACTACGTGCCTAAAGCATTCGCTCAATGTCATTAGCTCATTTTTGGCTGAAGTGACGTTTAGCGGCTTTTGCATCTGAGCTGCTCATATATAGGGGTCAGGGCTGCCCAGTGTTTTTTGAAGGAAGAGCCAAATTCCAAATATCTTTGACAGTTGTGGGCCTAAGTTAAATATACTAAACTATATTACATTAACATGGTTTCCGCTACATTCATTTCTCCATGGTGGGCCGCCACACCAAAATTTGTCCCGCCACGGCTACAATTAAGCTTCTTATTAATTCAAAACATTCAGTCGTTGTTGTTGTTGTTTTTAATAGCGTGTTATAATCGCAACAAAATGTATTAAAAGGTAAGTAAATTATAACAGCGCAAACTTTTCTGTTACCGTATAGGGCTGATGCATGAGGCCAGCAAACACGATGTAGCTTTCAGTTAAGATGAACACAGATTCCAAAATTATTCTTTATTTATAGATAAAGGCCTGTGATTATGCATACAATGACTTTAACGTTATCTTGCTGCAGTTTATTGCTGTTTCACTTTACTTCAGGACACATTTATGCCACTCTGTAGGTCTACTGGAGACATTCAGAAAAATTACAAGCAAATCTAATAAATGTTGGCGACATACTCCCTACATAAATTCACCAAATCGCATTTCAGCAGTGTTTATTTTAGAGGGCACAAGAAGATCAGTGCTTGAGCAGCGTATTTGAGGGCATGCAAGAAGTTTTGTGCACAAGCAGAGGAAATCGGCACGCAAGCAAAGAGATTGGCATGCTCGTATTAACTTTACATAAATGCGATCCCGACTTGTAATACTGCACTAACCACATTTCTCCATTTGCCATTGAAATACGCCATAGGTGGTTGGTAGACCGCCACAGCTGGAAAGAATCCTAGAGGAAACACTGATTAAAGTTGCCATGGGTCATTTTTTTTTAAGTTTTCATAGTATTTCAAAATAAATAGAAAACAGTAACTTTAACTTTAAATCATATTAACTAATGCAGTATAACTTTAAAAATAATTACTTGGTTATTGCAATAAAAACAAACAATCACATTTATACCACAGTGCAGTTCAATGCGGCGAGGCAGTGGCGCAGTAGGTAGTGCTGTCGCCTCACAGGAAGAAGGTCGCTGGGTTGCTGGTTCGAACCTTGGCTCTGTTGGTGTTTCTATGTGGAGTTTGCATGTTCTCCCTGCGTTCGTGTGGGTTTTCTCTGGGTGCTCCGGTTTCCCCCACAGTCGAAAGACATGCGGTACAGGTGAATTGGGTTAGCTTAATTGTCCGTAGTGTGTGAATGTGTGTGTGGATGTTTCCCAGAGATGGGTTGCAGCTGGAAGGGCATCCGCTGCGTAAAAACTTGCTGGATAAGTTGGTGGTTCATTCCGCTGTGGCGACCCCGGATTAATAAAGGGACTAAGCCGACAAGAAAATGAATGAATGAATGAATGGAGTTCAATGCTGAATACACAGGTCAAGCAGAATCTGCTTTGACTTGATTTGGTCACCAAAGTTTCATCAATGTACATTTAAGCAAAATCTGCTTAATTTACACAATTTAATTGAAACATTTAATTTCAGTTAACTTTTAACAAAAAAGCAAAAAAAACAAAGGGTTAAATTAGACTTGAATTGACAATCTTTTGCCATGGGCCCTAGTTTGGGCATCTCTGATATATATAAATATTGGAACGGCGACCCCTTCACCTCTATTGTATTGCACAGCAAGCATTATGCACTTATCCATTCCATCTTTGTGCTTCACACGCATCAGGCTCAGCATTTCTTCTCAGAAATGTGAGTCTTTGTCCCAGTGCAGATGAAGTGACGGGAGGAGACAGACAGGTGGAAACAGAGGTTTTCAGTGGTCACCCTGCCATTGGGAGAAACCTGCAGTGGGCGTCACTTTGAGCAGTCGGCTTCTTTGTGAGCCTTCTTGGCTGGTTAGATGCAGCCTGCAATGGTGACAGGTTGTCTTACTCTTATTTTCTGTCTCCAAACCCAGCTCAGTTGTTATTTTCAATCTCTTCTTATCTGTTGAACTCTCTTAACACCCCCTTCCCCAGTCTCTCTCTCTCTCTCCTCCCCTCCAAGTCTTTTTGTCCTCATCTTCTCTGTCTCTCTCTTTGGTTTGCTTTTGCTGATCCCCCTCCATGTCCTCTTGTGGCAAAGCCTACTGAAGCTGTGTGCTGAAGATAGCACGACACACGCTTCGATGCCGTCTGATCTTCAGGATGCTTGGCCTTGCCCCGGCCCATCTCTCAGTGGGGTGTCGGCTTCCTCTCAATGCTCCGGCATCATTAAGGAACACACACAGCACTTTCTTTCCCTTTCGTCTCCTTGCGCTCTATAGGATGCAACAAAACGCGGCTAAAAATGATCGTCCGACCTCATTAAAAACACCCTCTGATGATGCCAATCAGATGGAGCCGAACAAAGCGGATGTTTAATGTTTGAATGCTGAGTTTAAAAGAATTGAGTCAGGGGTGTCGTCGCTGTTTGTTCATTTTGAAGGTGTTATGCCCATGTTTGTTTACTACAAGTTGTAAAGCCTCATGATATGAGGAAACAGAAAAGCCTCTGCATGGAAAAAACATGAGGATAAAGGCGATATTAGTAGACTTGGAATGCGAATCCACCCTGATTCTCTCATAAAGGCGGCTGAGCTGTGTGCATGGTAAAGCTTTTGATATTACCGGGTTGTGGTTGTCGAATGGAAAACTCTAACATAATTTAATTATAACCAGAGGGATTTATTAAAAGGAATTTTGGTGTCATTAATAGGTATTTTTGTGCCAGTGACAGTTTTTGTTTTGCCTTTATCTTATCCCTGTGTAGATGTGTACCGTTTCGGTCATTTGATAACAGTTTTTTTCCCCCCAACCTTTGTCTTGGTTCACAATAAAGTGCATGAAGAAAGTAAAAAGTGACACCCCCCCCCATTTTTTTGTATCTAATTCTGTAGCTATTTCTCCAGTGGGAAAGTGTTACTTCTCTTTTCAAATGCATTTCAAACGTGTCCATCTCTCAGTCTCACCATATGAAATGACACCAAATCATTCTCACTTCTTCTGGCTCCCATGTTGATTCCCCCCTCCTGCACTTTTGCTCCTCGATGCTGACGACGGCGTTTCTGAAGCTGGGCTTTAGAGCTTCTTCTTTCTCTGAGGAATTAAAGTGTTCAGCTCCCAAGCAGCTGCCATCTTGTCACTTCCTCTGACTGTTTTTGGAGGGACTGAGGGACTTCACTGTCACCTCATCTCCAGAGAGCATTCTGGAAACGTGGCATCTCCAGAGTTCTGCTCCACCTTCCATCACAGACTTCCCTTCTGTTGGACAGCTTGTCGTCTTGGAAGCGTTTCGAGCGGCTCCAACTCTTATTCTCATGTTCTTTTCGTGAAAAGACATGTTTACAACATGGAAGCACCCGAGGAATTTCTTTTTTTTCTCTTTACATATCACGTCAGATTTTATTTGAAAGCACTTTATTGTCGTACACTATTGAGCGCTTGCTTTTTATTTTAAATAGCCAGATGAAACTTGTGTATGTACAAAGCCATTTTTCTCCACTGCACCAACAAAATGGGTTTTAAGATGGCATAGCCGGGCTGTTCCATGGTAATTTTATCTGTTCCCCGTCAGAAATTGTTCAAGTAATACCGTGGAGAGGCTCCATGCTTGTAATGACAGCCTTTAATGACAGGTGGAATTCACTCTGTGCAAGTCATTTTGCCTTCGATCAGAGCACTTCTCTCCTCCTGTGCAGATAAAAGTACATGATGGAGACGCTGTGTGTTTTAGGGGGTGGGTGTGGGTATCTCTCTGGTATATTCATCTGCGATTTGCTACAACCGTTGGCAATGTTGGACTTCTCTTTTCACCTCTGAAAGCGTTGAGGGCAAGAGGGAGTCTAAGTGGTTTCACCAGATCCCTCTCATTTCTCTGTAAAGCTTGGCTAACGGGGCCCTTTATAGAAGCGCCTCATGTGGGCCGTTTGTGAGTAGTCAGCAGGACGAGAGGGGGTGCTGCCAAAAGCACCACGTGTTTTAAAGACGCCAGCAGGGCAGATTTGGTCTCAATTGGGATTGGTTTATATTGGCTTGAGCCTGCAGCGACAAGTTATCGACTCACCTTCCTTCTCCCCGAACACAAGCTCTTGTTCTTTCCTAACAGGCTATTTTGGGTTTCCGTTCTCGTTGGACCTGTTTGTTTGAATTTCTCCATCTGTTTGTGTGTTTGCGTGTGTGTGCGCAAGTGTACCTTTGTCTGACCCACGCTATTCTTCTGCTGTCTTTGCCTTACAGGTATAAAGGATGTGATCTATTTGTCAGACAAATACCATGACACTCCAGAAATGACTGCCTCCAGACGGCTGCTCAACTTGGCGGGCGTCACGTACAAGTAAGTCTCTCGAGTCTGACCTTAGTAGAGGGTTTGCTGTGTGGCTCGGAAATTAAGAGGCCTCATTTGCATTCTTCTCGGTTCTGACTGGCCCGAACGATTGTACAATCAAGGCTGTAACGGAGGCCGACCCTCAGATGTGTGGGTGTATGTGTGACCTGAAGCCTCAAAAAGCCTCTGTGAGCCTTCGAAAAAAAGACATGCTTGGGGAAGAATGAGTAAGCACTGCGCACAAGTCTAGATAAGCTTCAAACAACATAGGAAACCAAACTGTATCGCCTTTATAACAACTGCAATAAATAGACATTACGTAGTCATAATTGATTTTAGTCAATTGATTTTAATATAATACTATTAACACGAATAGTTCATCTAAAAATGATTTTTTTTTTCATGCTCAACCAGTTGGAGTTTTGTTGTTCTGTTGAACACAAAAGAAAATATATTGAAGAATGTTGAAAACCTGCAACCTGCCTGCAGGCACAGGACATCAACATGACGTTAGATTGAGGTTGTACTCCTACTTCGGGAAATGTTGCATTTTGTTTGGAAATGAATATCGGGTTGAATTCAGAACCCAACATCAGACTGACGTCAAGGTCCTATGTCCAACCTAAAATCAAGCAAAATCAACATCTTATAATGTTACTTCAAGTAATGTGGACATTGCCACTATGATTTCATTAAAACACTTAGGATTATGGTTGCCATACTTGATAATTAAATGTCAATTTTTGACTTCGCTATGACTATATATATTTGTGTGTGTCTGTCTGTGTGTGTCTGTGTGTGTGTGTGTGTGTGTGTGTGTCTGTGTGTGTGTGTCTCTCTCTCTCTCTCTCTTTTCATTTTGGCATTTTGCTTTCATGTTCGTCACCTAGCAACAGCCGTACACACAACAGCAGCTCAATGACGCAAGTGTGGTTGGGAGCTTGGGTACGGTCCAGGCTATTTAATCAAGTGTGAAAGCACCCTTATAGAACGTGCTCAAATGTTAGTGGGAAATGGACGCTTTTAAAATTCCAGTATTTATTGACAACACTATAGTCACCACACAAAAACTATTTCTGTGAAGAACAAATCTCAGACATCAAGTAATGTTACAAACATACTACTGAGGCGCAGCATGATGACAACATTTAAATCAACCATGTAGTTCAAAGCAGTTTATAGGAACACTGAGACTAAAAGAGCCAAATGTAAATGCAAACATTTAACCCCTCTAAACGCATAATGTAAGGGAAGAAGTCCTTCATTTTATTTTAATGAGATGCAGGATTAACCAACTACTCGGCTGAACTCTCCGTGGGGTTTGCAGTCCTAACAGAGTCCTCTTTATGTTGGAGAGAGCCAGCGGGAGCCACAGCCAGAGCGGACAGGACTGAAATCTCATCTCCCCAGTTGTATGTACACACTATATATAGATGCACAGTAAATATACTCTGAAGCCTTTCATCAGAGTCAGATCAAATAGGACTGGGGGGACATGAGCCTGAGGAGACAAAAGGAGTAGATCCGCCTGAAGATGAAAATCAGGAAATCTTTTAAGATACTTTCATGCCTCTTGCCCGTCTTTGAGGGTAGCAAGGTTAATTCCCCCGCTGCCCGTTTTTGAAGGCAGTTTTCCGATACTTCTACTGTTACTATGAATGCTGGATTTCTGCATCTCCACCCCTTCAGCTCTTTGATTGCAGGGCCATAGTATAAAGCTCATATTAAAACCTATTTAACACTCATCATGTTTTATTTGGTCCCCCAATGTTCAGCCTGTGTCCTTAATATATTGAGTTATTGAATATAGGCATAATGAAAATGCATCATATTGATATTGTCATTGTTGGGCAGTAGTGTTGTTACATGTAGTGATGCTACTAGCTTAACTACATTTACTCAGTAGCGTGACGGTAGTTGCTACTTTTCTAAATTAAATAGCTTTGCAGTAGCGAATCTATTTTTTTTAGTCAAGTAGCGAAGTAGCATCCACACAAGCTACATTTACTGATCGCAAACCAGTTAGTGATAGCACCGACATTCACTACATATAGTTTACTGGAGTAAAGGCTAAAGTATACTATAGGTAATTACTATTAGTTCATGATATTATGTGCAGTAAATAATTGAACTAAACAATTATGGCTCATATATTTCATTGACTGAGCCAAAAGGCAAAGCTCTCGATTTCCTGGTCAATCTATGTTCCTACTCTCACCTATGGTCATGAGCTGGGTCATGACCGAAAGGACAAGATCTCAGATACAAGCGGCGAAATGAGTTTCCTTCGCAAGGTTGCAGGGCGCACCGTTATAGATAAGGTGAGGAGATCTGTACCCAGGAAGAGCTCAGAGTAGAGCCGCTGTTACTCCACATCAAGAAAAGTCAGCTGAGGTGGCTCGGGCATCTGTTTACAGCTTGCGACATTTCCCAGGGGCTAGCTTTTAGTGTAGTTGAGCTACATTTTAAGTAGAGTAGCTAATAGCTTAACTCACTACATTTTTCAAGTAGCTTACCCAACAGTGGATATTGTGGACACTTTATAATAACTTGAATAATTTCTGAATAAGTTGAATAAATGTATTAGTTAACTTTTAGAGTGTCTTTTAAGAACATTCAGATTATTGTATTGGCAGTGGTTGTTCCTCACAGCAAAAAATGCTTGAAGAATTTATTTTTTAAATGCATCTTTTTATTAACATTTTAATTATTAATCACAAAATACATTGAAACAAATCAACAAACAAAGCCCATAACAATGCAATGCTAAAGAAAGAAAATACATTTCTATATATATAATATAATATTTATAAGCACTTAATTATAAATAATAATATTAATAATAATAATAAAAAGTAATTAAATAAACTAAAATTGTAACTAAATAAAAAAATATAAAGATTAAATAATGATAAAAATAAAACACGCAAATTTAATTATGACATACCATAACTCAAAATACAGCTTAAAGAAACATCAATTAAATTAGTAAGGAATCCACACTTGATGTAAAGCCTCAGTGAACATATAAATGACCCAGGTTAGAAATTCTAGGAGAATAATTTCGCTAATAAAATTGTACCATCCTTTCAAAAATGGGGGTTTGTTACTGATCAAGTTCATCAGTATATTTTTCCTGTCAGCAAAGGCTAAAATGCTTGAATTGAAAGGCAGTTCATTTTTAAACATTAACATTTTCACATTAATTTGGCCTACAACGTTGAATGTTCTGAGGCCCCGTTTACAATAGTGCATTTTAGTTTTAAAACGGCGTTTTAGAATGAAAACGATCCGCATCCTCACTAGCGTTTCACCCAGCATTTCTGAACAGCTCTCCGTCTACACCAAAACACTGAAAACGCACATCATGTGACCACACACACTCTCTCTGGCATGTGCTGCTGCCTATCTAGCCTGATGAGAGCTGTGCTTTGCGGAGTGTTCATCAAGGATCTACCGCTCGATCTAATCTCACTATATTTGTTAAACGTGATATTAAATTCATCTTATTGTCTAACAACATATTTCCCGACTTTGGTTTTTTGAATATATCACTTGTTTACAGGTAACGTGTTTGACTAAGCGCAAAGATAAGTTAATTAATGTAACCACATAGCCTATATTCTGCATATTGACTGTTTGCTTGCTTTTATTTCCTATAATGTATAAACTTATTGTACTTTATACTTTTATAATGGCAATTATTGATTATTAACTGATATTCAGCAAAAGAGAGGGTTTGTTTTGTATTTTCAATGAAGGTGAAAGAAGGCAGTAATGTTATAGGCTCAGTTTTGTTATGAATACGTATCCAGTGAAGATGATATATGTAGCACAACACCTCAACATTTCTGCTGTCTGTTAAGTAGTTAATATCAAAATTAAAATAGCAGTTTCTTATATCATGTTTTCATTTTATTGTTAAGATATAGTGAAACAAAGTAGCCAGTATGCTGTCAATAAGGTTATAAAATACACTGTTCCTTTTGTAGATTTACCGACATGTCCTCGGGAGTCGGTTTTCCATATCCAATTTGCGAAGTCTGAACTTACAAGGACTGAACTTGTAGGACTGAACTGTGTGTAGGCTACTTAATGTTGAGGAAAAGCCCCAATCAGAGAGGCAAAGTTCTGTAGCACCGCCTCCGTTTTCAGATGTCTCCGTTTTCCCCCCCATCCACACTGAGACCGAGCAGCAGCATTTTAAAATGAAAACGACCTCTTCAGCGTTTCCAAAACGCTCCGTTTTCGGCGCTCGAAAACTCTGGTGTAGTGTGGACGGATGGCGTAACCGTAGCAAAACTTTTGCGTTTTCAAACTAAAATGCATTAGTGTAAACAGTGTTGTTTTTCACAGAACAATCTCAGGCCCTCTTTGTTTAACTCTGTACAGTAAGATTCCATTAACTAGGTGATGCTAATGTCTGTTAATGCCAAAAATCACACGCAAAGTTAATAGTTAAAAGTTATATTTTTAACACAAAGTTTTATTTTTATCAAAACTTTAGCAAAATGTAAATGTCTTTCCCACTTTATATAAAAGGCTTTTTAATGATGACAGTTTAAAGACTCCTCTCATATGAGGAATGAAGTCGCATGCATTGCTCTGGTGTGTGTTTTTTTTCTCAAATCTTGATGGTTTTGTGGGTCTCGTCTTTCAAATCTAATCTTTATTTTGTATTTTTTATTGGATTCAAATCAGATGGTTGGCTAGGCCATTCTACTGCTTGATTTTATTCTCTGTAAGCATTTAAGACTTTCCTTTGGATTCCTTTCCTTGCTGAAATGTCGACCCTGGTTTCATCTTCATCATCCTGGTAATGTAAATGTTGGACTGAAGCAGCGAATATTAATTAACAGTGAGGAAGGGCAGAGCGTTGCTGAATAGCTACTGAGAGATTTCAGCTGCTGTCTGGGATTTCACTGCATTTCTACACTTGCCCTTTCTTCATGTGTTCAATACCTTTTCTTTTATAACTTCATTTTTTAAACTAATTAGATTTGTTTCTTCTTTACATATATGGATTTCTTTGGTTGCTATAAACATCCGGTTAAAATTTCATGTCAGCAGCACCTTTAGAAATATGTTTTCTGAGAAAAATAGTGACGTGTTCAATACTTATTTTCCCTGCTGTATTATGCTACAGTTTCATCAGTGGAGTATTGATTATATTCATGTATGCAGAGGCCCTAAAAAGTGTTTGGACACTTAAGCCGCTCTTAAATGCAGGCATGCCTTTGCATTTATGTAACAGATAGAGGCCTATTATTTGCATGGTGAAGAATGTGTGGAATCCAGTCATAAAAATGAATTAGCTTTATAATGCAGAATGTCCCAGAATTTTTAGCTGTGCACATAATCAAAATGATATGTGGATTAGCGTCTGTAAAATTCAGAGGACCGTTTATTTTATTTGTGAGAATGACTGCTTTGAGAGTTACTCTATGTATTTTTGCTGTTTCAAATGACCTCTTGTTATATCATGTACACACAGAAACTCAAAGGTCTTCATGACAACCCACCAGAGTTAAAGAATGTCTTCATTTAAACAAATCGTGAGAGAAGTATAATGATATGTTACAGCAGAATTTACTTTTTTATGCAATATAAGAAAAAGAGGTAGTAATTATTTAATTTTTTTAAAGTTTATTATTTATTTAAAAAAAAAAACAAATACACAATTGTTCTTCAATATTATTTTTTTAAATAAAAGTTTTATAATTTTATTTTATAAAATAATGTGCATTTTGAAATCTTTAATAAACTGTTGTTAAATTGAATACGTTTTATAATTTTAACCAACTGGGCTTGTTTTTGATTTACTAAAACCGTTTTATTTTTAACCATCATTAAAATGGTTCATTGTTAAAAAACCTAATGAGAACAAACACAGAATGTTTAAATATATTTAAAAAAAAAACTTAATGGTTGTGTGTGTATTGAAGCTGCATGATATTGGAAAAAAGGTCTAGTATTACAATATTTTCTTATTCTTTATTTCTTTGCTATTCTTTTCTTTATTATATATTGTGACACGAATACAATTGACCTAGATGTGCTGAAGAAATATTTGGAAAGAATTTATAATTTTAAATTAATTGGGATGATTCTGTAGCAGAGTGCATATGCATAACATATAAACAATCAACAAGCATTGACGAATTGAATTGACGAATTGAATAATCAAATGTAAAATAGTATATATATATATATATATATATATATATATATATATATATATATATATATATATATATATATATATATATATATTAGTGCTGTCAATCGATTAAAAAAATTAACTAATTAATCGCACCTTTTAAAAAAAATGTATCGCAATTAATCACGATTAATCATTTAAAAATACTGAAACGTGTAATTTTGGCTATTTAAATGTAAAATTCATGTAAACGCAAGACAAAAAATATTTAAACTCAAAATATAATTGTTTAGTAGAATTTTTGTTTAACTTGTAACACAGATTTCTTCATGTAAACAACATACTCACAATAAACCATCAAGATCCTGGCTTGACAGCCATATTTATTACAGAAATTAAAACACAGGCATGTTAATGACATTTAAATTTCAAAACAATCAATGCCAATAAAGAAGACATTGATTTCCATGTTGGATTCTAAGTGGATTGCAAAAAAATGCCAAAATACAGGAATTGCAGATATGGAAAATGAAAAATTATAATAATAAACTATAGAATACAAACTGTTGCACTCATTGTCAAGTTTTATTGCTGTGAGTTGAGAACATTAGTTATAAAGTATAAACAATTTTGCTTAATCGTCCTTTACATTCTTCAAATGGCTGAGACTAGGAGTATCCTGCAAGTGCACAGAGACTCCAAAATGCCCGCAAATTAATGATAATTTCTTGCAAACCGGTTGTTAAATACATTGCTGTTTATTGCTATTATTACTGTATTTCACAAGGATTCTGACACAACAACGTGAAGCATACGCTTTCGTTGCGTTTAATAAGGAAACATGCTATACTTGGAGGGCTTATGCTGAAAAGCAGAGTAATGCCCTGTCTTTGACAGCTCGCGACTTCACCAGAGACGTTCTGAGTACATTCACGTAAGACAACAATACTCCGATTTTAATATGATTAAGATCTTACTCTTATTAAAATTCTACCGTGTAGCCTTAAAAGGAACTTTACCTTAAAGGAACACCGAGTCACGAAATGCGGAGGATTTTCTTTCAGTTCGTCTGTATCAACTTACAACAGAAGTCGAAAGTTAAAAATGAAACACCCAAAATTGCATAAAACTTTGGAGAGCCTGGTGATGCGAGCAATTGTTTTATACTGAAACTTGCCTTCAAAAAGTGCTTCCTTGGTCTTATCCACATTTATTGCATGTTGAACACATGTCCACCACAACAGGAAGTAAAAAAAACCTGCAACTGCGTTAATTGCGTGAATTTTTTTTAACGCGTTAATTATTTAAAATTAATTGCATGCGTTAACGCGTTAATTTTGACAGCGCTAATATATATATATATATATATATATATATAAAATCAAGATTAAGCCAGTAATCGGAAATATAGGAAAATAGGAAACATTGTAATTTTTGACCCACCCTTGTGCCACTTTTTCCTTACTAATGGTGTCAAAAGTAACGCTGCAATTTACGTTTAAAGTGAAATATTAAGTTTATCTACAATAAAATTGTTCTACATTTTTTCAAATTACCATCCGGTAATTATAGACCAAACTTGTAAGTTAGTAACCAAAGCAAAAATTATATTTCAATCTGAAACATTATCTTTAAAAATTAGGTTTTTATGAAAAAGTAGTACTTTCGTCCCCACTGTCATCATGGAAAAGACAAAAGAAATGAAATATTATAACTGTTATGTTTAAAAAATATAGAAAAAATATCTTCTCTCGGTAAAACAGAGCAAAATAAATCATATTGTGGGAAGCTTTTGTTTTACATTTCACTATCTAGTCTCTGCTTGCATATTCAATGAAAGCTTTAGACTTGATTTTGACTACCAATGAACTGCATTAATAGGCCATGTTTCCAGTTGCAGATGAACCGGAATGAAGGATGCACGGACGTGTTATTAAAACATCACCAATGCGCTGCAGAATTCTGCATTCAGAATTCTGAATGAGCAGATGAATCGATTTACTCGGGCTTCAACTGAAGGCGGCTTACCATTAAAGAACATTGGATAGCAAGAGACAAAGCTTTGTGGTTGTTCATGGACTTAGTCTTTGAATACTTCTGCTGTCAATAGAGCAGAGATTCTATCTGTATTGGCCTTTGTTGCTTTAGCAGTTTGATGATGAGGAATAGATTTTTGCCACATACAACTCATCTCATGCTGAGAGGAACGGGTTAATGCGAGAATGAAGAGTAAAAAGAAAAGAGTTGGGTAGAAGGTGCACTGAAAATAATAAAAGAAATGAAAGCATGGTTTGTGAAGCAGTCGCAGAAGACGAGGCTAAAAGTGGGAAAAATAAGTAGTTTACCACCTGCTGGTTTAGTTCATGTTGGCAGGGTATTTTCCTGTGGGATGTTGGGGTGCTTGGTCCCTGCTGGCATTGCCTTATGAAGAGGTTTCCGCTTGTGTTTTCTCATGAGCTTTAGTGTGTAATTGGTTTCCTCAACCAGTGTGACAATGAGAACAAGTGAATTTTCTCCCCATTTTATTAAGGTGTTTTAAAATAAGGGGCCCTATTATACACCCGGCGCAATAAGGCGCAAAATGTGTTGGGTGCGATTTGTTGCTATTGTCAGATCAGTGCAACTGTAATTTTCTCATATTGTGCCATGTTGTTTAAATAGCAAATCCATTTGCAGCCCTTTGTGGATTCATAGCCATGCTAGTCTAAAATAGAGGTGTGTTAAGGCGCATTGTTGACGCGTTGCTATTTTTAAGAACTGAAATAGATTGCGCCATTGACCATTAGTTATGCGCCTGTGGGGGTTCAAACGCTTACACAGTACTTAATACACACAGGATGTACAAAAATACACAAATATCTTTACATATGAAAACAGTAAAATGATTAAAATGTTACAAAGACATTATTTTCTACATAAATATAAAAAACACTTCCTCCATGCCTTCATCTCGGGAGACTTTTTCAGTTTATTCATGACAATATGTATTTGTATAATGTTATTATTCTTAGCAGTATTATTTATTATATGCATATTTATATTTGTTTTAATAAAGACAAGTTTAGATTTGTCCTCCTGTCAGGTTTTGGAGACGTATGCGTCGCTATATGGGACACAGGATTTGGGTCTTTGGATATAATTCAGCTTGACCAAACTTGGTTATTATTGTTCATTTATTCGTTTGCTGGAAATTAGAACTGAATTTAGAAATAGCTTTAAAATAAATCTTTGCGCTTAACAAACAAAATTAAATAGATTAATAGATGTCAGATGTTCAATGGAGTGCGTACAAAGGTCTTTCCTTATTCACAAAAGTAAAGGAGTAAAGTAAAGAGACTGATTGGAGGAGGCTCGTTCTTTGTCCTTGTCCTGCAGATGGTCTGTTTAACTGTCTTCTCGCTTGTAGTGAAATGTTCAGTTTTTCCACTTACAAAGTCTGCCATGTAAATATTAAATGTGCCATGGCGCAAAAACTTTTAAAGGGAATAGGAGATGAGACTCTGATTGGTTTAATGCATGTTATGCTCAAAACACACCCATAACTCATTAAGAGAATGAGCACAACCCTGTTAGACTATGTGCCAGGGCACAGAGCATATTTTTCCATCTTAAAAATAGCAAAAGTGGATTTGGAGACACCCTTAATGCTTATGCACCATGTACTTTAGATTTGCACCGAGATCATTAAAATAAAGCTCAAGGACTGTGTTTGACTAAAGTGACAATCTATTTATGATGCAGTTATGTGTTTTTTTTCTGTCTTTCAGGCAATTCAAGCCAAAGCAAGGCCGGATTGTCATTGATTTTAATTCAATCAACCACTCCGACTTGAAAAGCACCAATGGTTTTGCGAATGTGCAGTCACCATAGAATGAGGAACTTTGATCATGACACTAAGAATGAATAAAACATTGTTTTATTTTCCATCTGGCTTTTTGGAGTTGTTATGCACTTTTTGTTTTAAATCTCAGTTTCTTCTGATCTTGTATGTTGCTGAAATTAGCCATTGTCGACCTTTTGAATGTGTTTCTTTTATGTATGTGCTGTAATCAGTGTTTGGTTAAGTTACTTTTCAAATGAATATTACAATCCTGAGTCACCTTATAAAAAAGTTACTTTTTAAGGAGCGTAATGTGAAAATATGTGCTATTTTTGCATTTCTTTTTAGATCAAGATAGGCATAATATTGTAATTGATTGCTTTTAAAAGAAACTTTACCCAACTCTGGCTGTAATACCATTATCAATTTGCATGCATAACAGCAGCTGCTGAGTGACCTTGGCTGATTCTTGATGCAATTTTAAATTGATTCTTTTAGAGTTTCATTCATGATAAGTGAGCTGGCAAAATCAAGTTGGATGCCAACATTAACTAAATAAAATGGTTTACCTTTTTTCCTTTTGTATTCTCGCTGTAATATCGAATGTTTATGACTGCATTGCTCATGTCCATGTTTTTTTTTTAGTGCTGTAACAGAGAAACCTCATGTTCTGTCAAATCCACACTGTTTTGTGCATATTGTGTCTCTGCAGGTTAGAACCCGCAACTTCAGGATTTAATAAAAAAAGAGACTCATGTTTAGAAAGAACTGTTTGCGACTGTTACATATCATACTATGATCACACTCAGAAAACAATCAAAAAAGAGAAAATAAAATGACTCATTCTTTCTGGTTCATAGGCATCCTGTGAGAGTCACAATATTGTTTTTCATCACACAGGACAACATATATCAGAGCTGTCCACAGAGCTGCTGTTGTACTTCATGAATACATCACTGAACTTTTTATCATCACGTTTTTATTAGTTTTTTTTCACAGGTCAAAAGTTCATTGAGAATTCCTTTGAGTTGCAGAACTTGGTATAGTTTAAGTACCAATTCCCACTATCAAATACTGGCTTATTGCCTGCCTATTAGTAAGATTTTGCCTGTTCATTCATACTTATAAAATATGTCTCTAAAAGGATCTCTAATCCTACCTAATACCTAAACCCAACTACTACATTAAGTATTAATCATCAGCAAATTTTGGGACAGTATGGAAAGTGCAAATATAACAAGAAATTATTGATTTCTAAGTTTAATTTGATTAGTTAAATTGCAGACAATAATAATAAAAAAATATATTTTCAAGATAAAATTTTGGTTCTTGCAGCACATTTAAGAAAAAGTTGGAGTTTACCACTTTGTAATGTTGCCATTGCTTTTAACAACACTTAAAAGACATTCAGGAAATTAAGGCACCAAGTGATGAATTGTATTGGGTGTAATTTCATGCCTAAAGCCTTACGGTGGGCAACCACACAGGGTCTTCAATGTTGAATTTTGTGCTTCAAAATGCACCACACCTTCTCTATTAGAAACAGGTCGGGACTGCAGATAGGACAGCAAAATCCTCTTCCTCTACAGCCAGGAGTTAGGACTTAGTAATGTGTGCAGAATGTGGTTTTGTATTGTCTTGTTGAAATATGCATGGGCATCCCTGGAAAAGAAGGCAGCATATTGTGCTCTAAAATCTCTATGTACTTTTTACATTGATGGTACCATCACAGAAGTGCAAGTCACCTTTGCCAAGGGCACTGACACAACCCCAAACTATGACAGACTTTGGCTTTTGGACTTGTTGCTGATAACATTGCATTTTTTTCATATTGTGTATATGCAGTTCATAGCACACAGTAATGGGTGATTGTACATGCATACTTGTTCTGTTATAGCAAGCATTTCAAAAATTATAAAAGTGTTTTAAACCAAACGATTGCTAATTATGTATTAAGCAACTGAAAACATTAACTACACACAATAAGAGTGCATGAACTGTAAGCTAGGAATGTGATTGACTAATTTCCATGGAAACAAAGTCATCATGTTTATACTATATTGTCTTTTTGAATTTTAAATCATTCTAAATTGATATCTATAATATTCAATTGATTTGTTTTATTTTGGCTAGAATGAAAACAGTTTTTTTTATAATAAAAAAAACAATTTAAGGACAATATCATTAGCCCTCTTAAGCTATATTTGTTTTTGATTGTCTACAGAGCAAACCAATGTCATACAATGACTTGCCTAATTACTGTAATATGCCTGAATAACCTAGTTAAGCCTTTAAATTTTACTTTTAATGACACCTATTTTACCACTTTTTCAAGGTTTACAACAGGTCTTTTGTGTCTCCAGAATGTGTCTGTAAAGTTTTAGCTCAAAACACCCATCTGATTATTTACTTTACCTTTTTTTTTTTTTTTTAGAATATTACAATTGTTGTACAGCTATATTGCTGTTGTTTTTGTTGCCTGTGCTTTTAATGCTAGTTCACCCTGCCCACTGTTTCCACGTGCCTGTCAGAGTGTGCCTCAATCTTAATCTGCGTCAGATAAACAGCACAGTGACAGACATGAAGTAAGCAGATCTCACTTAAGGTATGAAAAATGCTACAGTAAGAACTTAACCAAAGAGTACTTGATGTATTTTTTTGTGGAGTTAATTCAAGCCTTTCTGTGAGGAAGAGCCATACACATCATTACAAAGTTCACAGATAGGTATGTTTAACTTTGCACTGTTTTTGCACCGCAAACATGACAGGATACACAGTAATATCCACTGCTCTATGGATTTTTGTTATGTTAATGTACAAAATAAACCTGATTTAACGTTCACAAACCAGCATTGAAGTGTCTTATTTTAAAATTGTACTGACATGCGGCTGTGGTGATAAAGGCGGTAAAATTGCTGTAATTCTATACAAACATACACAGTTTTAAAAACAATTTTAACTTGTAAAACTGATTATTGAGCACATTTGATGATGATTGATGATCACAGAACGCTGAACAGATCTTTTAATCCCGGTTGATTTGCGAACGTTCGTTGATATGATTATGTGCGTTACTACGGAGACGTGTTAATACGTGGCTGTCAATCAATTTAGTGGGCGGGGAACCACACTCCTACATCACGTTGAGGTTTGCTTCAAAATGGGAGGGATTTGGATCTAAAAAAAACAAAAAAGACTTATTGTCTTTATATCACCCCAGTATAACTGTGGACAAACTATACTTACACACAGTTCTGTTCAAACAGCTTACAAAATATGATTTTCATCTAATGTGTCCTGCTGGATACTAGTGTCTTGAAAAATTTCTAGTAAAATATTATCAAATTGTCATCATGGCAAAAATAAAAGAAATCAGTTGTTAGAAATTAATTATCAAAACTATTATGTGATAAAATGTGTAAAAAATAATTCCAATAAAAATAAATTGGGGAAAACATACAGGGGGCTAATAATTCTGACTTTAACTGTATGTTTGAAGGAAAACACTTAACACTTTCCCTAAATATCCTTAAATAAAGTGGAATTACCTATTAAGTGTCATATAGCCTATAGGGAAAAATTAATGTTTCAGGTCTCTCCTGAGCATTTGGGCTGAATGTTTGATGGCGTCTATCAAAACGAGGATGTTATAAAATACATTTTCTTTTTTCTTTTCATTTTTCTGTCATAAATATCGGAGAATGTCTGTGGTTTTATATTATGGATTGGTGCGCTCACAATGCGATTTCGATGCCAACAGTCGGTCGGCGAGTAAATGAATATGACGAATGAGAACACGCTGGTCTCTGTGTATAGACATTTATTTTAATGCTGAACAGTAACGGGTCATTTGTTTGTTTCGGATGTCTTTATTTGAATTGTTTCATGATGATGTGATGCTATGCTTTATCTGCCTGATTCCTGCTGAAGTGGGCGGGTTGTGTGACGTTTTCATTCGGGGGACGTTCTGGGGGCGGGGTTTGCGTGACGCGCTGCGAGCTACAAGCCTGACGGTGGAAATGCGACATGATTTCGGCCTCACTGCTCAACCTCTCCCGGGTGATTGGCCTGTCCCGGCCCGATTATAGCCCTGGCTCGCACTGGGCTGACAGTGGAAATGCGGCTAATGAATGAATGAATGAATGAATGTCCAATGAAAAGTGTATGGGATGAATGGATATTTTATTAAAAAGTTTCACATCTGAAATAGTGAATAGTTTTAAAACCTCTGCATTTGTTCAGACTAAATAAGAACAAATGTTTTTCAAAAAAATTTGGAACTGGCATTTAGATCCAACGATTTCTCAGTCAGATCAGATCACAGGGTGGAATTGCAGTTCTCGTATAGCTATAGCAAGAAATAAGTGCAATTTAACTTACCATAAACGAGAAAACAACAACAAAGGAAACTCAAATAAAGCAAAGAAGTTTGGCAATGTTAGCTGGCTACCTATTGAGCCACTTTAATATCCTACCTGTTCAACTCGGAGAGAAAAAAAAACATCTCTGCATCAGGCTTTAATCCCTTCAGCTCTCTGCCATCTATCAAAAGACATATCGATATTTACTCTCGTTTTCTCATGGGCTCTGACGCTTTCTCTGTTTGTCTGCGGGTTCTGCTAAGTAAGAGTTTCTTGCTTTTGACAACAGGCAATTTTCCCAGATGTCAGAGATGATTGCTGTTTATAGCTTTACCGATTAAAAGTAGATCTAGATGACAGGTTTATATTCAAAGCAACTTTTGCAAGAACAAAGCAAGAAACCATTCCTCACCACCACGCACACGTGGGACAGCAGCGCTCCAGACTGCAACAAAAAGGCCACGTATTGCAACAACCTTTTATCCTTTCAGTGTGAATAGAGGTCACGATGCTGCTGCTACCAATTTACCTTGCCAATCTTTTCCATATGAGACATTTTAAATGGCGAACGTGTGAATGGAGGAAAGAATGCACTTCTCAATTTAAATGTGCTGGACAGACAGACCATTATGTTCATTAAAAAAAGAAAGGAAGGCATTTTATACTCTGACCAGTTGCGATCACTTAGCGTGGCACAGTTCAAAAGAGCAGCACTATTTAATTCTGCTTCTGGTGCTTTTGCAATTTATTATTTCTCATATTAGGCACTAAACAGTGCTGAGATTTGTGAGAAGCATATTATTTCTACACCCGCAAAAGTCTTGGGGATTTGAAACTATTTTAAAGCCAAATAAATCCAAGCTGTCCTTCTCATCAGCACTGATCTGGAAGACAGCAGAAACACTGCGTAACAATGTCCAGCATTAGCCATTGTTTCACTGTGGTAACACCAACATGAACTCAATATTGTGGCTGAAATGTGTTGCTTTTTTAGTAAATTTGTTTACAAGTCTACTGTTTTCATTAACACTACATAAAACTAAGGCTAGTTATATACATTTGTTGTCTACAATTATAATAAGGATTAGGCTCTTTTACGGCTAATTTGTATGGCTGGTTTTGTTTTTGTTAATAAAATTGAATTTACAGTCTCCCAACACAAGCTCCAGTTTCTTCCAGTTTAAGCTTCTGTTAATTGTAGACATGACATCACCACACAAAGATGGAGAAATATCAAACTGACGCTTTCTGCAAAATCCCATGTCCATCCCACAGTGTACCCATCTTCTGATGACTACTTCCAGCAGGATAAGGACTGGTTTCTTGAACATGACATGGAGTTCACACTACTCAAACGGCCTCCACAGTCACCAGATCTCAATCCAATAGAGCACCTTTTGGATG